GCTTGGGGAATGGCTCTGGGCCCAGGTCTTACGTGGAGATGCTTGGGACATGGTCCATGCCCTGGGATGGCTGCCGTGAGCACAGATGTCAGGACTCGTGTGGGTTTGTATCAGTGTTGAGGGAACACCCAAGCATGCCTGAGTCAACGCAGACTTTCCAGAGGAAGTGACAAGCTGTGGTGCTAAGTAAAAGCACAAAGAAGGAGGAGGTCACCCAAAGGGACTGCCTGCTGAGAGCAGAAGCAGAAGAAGAAGGTTTCATGGAGAAGCCTGGTGATGCTTTAGTAAGTTAGAAAAACATGTGACATTCATAATGCATCAGGAGCCATGCTGGCTGTTTTGAGCACATTATCTTATTTCATTCTTGGAAGAGCCATGCGAGGGAGGGGGGTGCTCTTCCCATTTTACAGATTGGGTCACTGCAGTTCAGATGCTAAGAGCCTTGGTTAGGTTCACATATCTAGTGAGTGACCCCAGAGCTCCTGCTCTTCCCCTGGAGCCTCTTGCAGATTCTTGGCCACACCCGCCTGTGCTGTCTGCTCGCTGTCCTCGCTGTGACTTACGGAGCCACAACTGGCCGGGGGCAGGTTGCGCTCAGCTGGCCTGCGGCATGCCTGTCTCAGGCAGGCTCGGGCTAGGTGCTGGTTTGCAGTAGATTGTAGAAAAAGAGGCCCAACAGCTGGAATGTGCCAGATTGTGGAAAGAGTGACTGAATTGCGCTCCAGCCGAGGCCAGCTGGCCCCATGTCCCTCTCCCTGGGCCTCCTTTCTCTGGAACAAAGTGTCTCTGTGACTATCTCCCTGCCAGATGGTGAGACCCTCCAAGGCAGGCACAGGATCTTTTCATCCCTTGATCAACCTCCACCATTACTGCCCACACTTCTGTACACCGCTTCATCTCCCTTTGCTTGTCTCCTGCAAAAGTCTGTTATACTGACCACCAGGTAGAGGTTAGTGTGAATGACAAGGGGGGAAATGAACCTGACCCCCTCCCTGTCTCACATAAAAACACAGTGATGCGATGGAGGGGTCGTGGCGACTGGTCCTACCCCCGGGCAGGGGCACTTCTCTTTTAGCTCCATGAGTGGCTAGTCCAGGTAGCAATGCTGATTTACTCCTATGTCACTACTGTACAAAGAAAGGTCAGCCCCCATAACGTGCTATGCCAGCGGAGACTGCAAATTCGTTTAACTAACAGCGCTGAGCACATCCAGGGTTACAAGCAGCATCAACAGTGGAGACAGGTCGTCATTGATATTAACAATAAGCGAAGAGCTGGAAGGATTTCACAGACAGAAACTTGAGCTGGGTCTTGAGCATAGGGTGGAACTTGACTAATTAAGAGATGAGGACATTCGTGGAAGGGGGAACAGCATGGGCAAAAGTGTGGAGGTAGAAAATTTGTGGCATGCTTAGGGACCAATGAGGTGAGCGGCCTGCTCCCAGGGGCTTGGCACAGGGAAGGGTGGCAGGTTCTCCTGGAAAAGAGGGTAGAGCATTTGGAGTCACAAAGGCCAAGATTTGGGGCCCAGACTTGCAGGTTACTGGGACTAGAAGCAAATGTGTGTCCTCCCATTGCCTCGGAGCAATTACTCTGCAGGAAACACCGTCTCCTGGGTTATAGCTTGGGGCCTCAGGGACCGAAGAGCAGCAGCCCTCACACCAGGCTCTCTAGCTCCAGCCAGAAGGCCTGATCCCAAGACACCAGGGTTTTGTTTTGTTCTTAACCATTAGAGCACTGTGGAACATTTAAAACAAACACCTGCTTGGCCCCTTTGAAGTCTGCTCAGTAAGCCCAGCATGTGGTCTGATATCTGAATTTTCAAAGCATCTCCAGTGCTTTTGCTCAGCCCGGAGTGACAATCCCACACCAGGTACTCCTTGGGGACCAGAATGCCCAGCTCTGGGCAGGCTGGAGCAAGAGCTCAGGGAACTGTGGGTGATGGGTGGATGGATGGATTTTAGACCAGTCGAAGGTAAAGGAAGCAGGGATCAGGGACATAGGGGATCGGGGCTCAGGAATGTGTCATTCCCCACCCCCCAAGGAGTTTTAACTCTCTCTTAGTAGGAAAAGTTTAAAGCACTAACTTTTTTCAATGACACTTGTTCTGTACCAGCCCAAACTGTCCAATAAACAAACAAACAAAATGTATGAACACACACTGGCTTTTCTCAAGTTAATACCACATTCCATTTCCAGCCAAGAGAAAGCGCTTGAGTCTGGTGGAGACATCAGGCCTTTGAGAACCCAGACTCCAACAGCTGGACCGGCCCTTAGTCACTAGATGAACTGGGTAAGTTGTGGCCCAGGGTAAGGAGTACCTTGGCCAAGATCCCATGACAATGTGTGCTGCAGCAGGCCTAAGACCTAGACCTCTGACTTGCTGACTTCAGGATTTCTTTTCAGTTAAATGACCTGCCCCGGGTCACACAGCTAGAAAATGTCAGGACCAGTGTGGGAACCCAATTCTGTCTGATTCTAGGGTCCACACAAGGGAGTAAGAGGAAGTAAGATGGTCAACAGTAAAGGATGATAAAGCTGCCTAACAAGAGTCCTGTGCTTTACTTCGCAATAAAACTGGAAAGAATACACCCGGCAGGTGTGGCTCAACCACCAAGAGGTTGCCGGTTTAATTCCCGGTCAGGGCCCATGCCCAGGTTGTGGGCCAAATCCCCAGTGGGGGGGCATGCAGGAGGCGGCCAATCAATGTTCTCTCTCATCAATGTTTTTATCTCTCTCTTCCTCTCCCTTCTTTTCCTTCTCTAAAATCAATAAAGAAAAAAAAAAATTTAAAAACACAAAAACTGGAAAGAATGGGAAGTGGGGGGAGGGACGGGAGGGGCGAGAGAGTGGGGTGTCCTGTGTTTCCTCCATGAACTTATTTAGCTATCACAAAACTGTCTATTTTTTCATGTCTCTCACAGAGCCTGAGCCCCTCAGAGTCAGACCCTCATTCATCTCTGCATCTGCAGTGCCCAGCACAGGGGCAAGTACCCAGGAAGCACAATGCACGATCGTTGAATCCATCCATTAACTCACTTGACTAATATTAATGAGTACCTGCTGTGTGCCTGGCATTTGGCTAGGTCCCGAGTGGAACCTCAACAGAATGTTGTCTCTGCCTTTTCAGAGTTTATGGTCCAGTGGAAGATAAAGAAACCAGTCAACAATTTAATAGATATGACATAACAATGTATAATAAGTGTTGTGTGGAGAGTTCTGGGAGGAAGATCTATATAGGGGGGTGTTGGACTTACAGGTGGGATATTAAAGCCACGAGGACAGATTAGAAAAAATCCTAAGAAACTGCAACATTTATTTATTTTTAATTTTTTTTTTTATTGATTTGAGAGAGAGAGGAAGGGAGAGGGAGAGAAACTTAGAAACATCAATGAGAGAGAACATCGATTGGCCACCTCCTGCATGCCCCCCACTGGGGATCGGGCCCACAACCTGGGCATGTGGCCTGAACAGGAATCGAACTGGCGACCTTCTGGTGCATGGGTTGTTGCTCAACCACGAGCACACTGGCGGGGCAGAAACTGCAACATTTACAGGTTGAGTGGAAGGAGAGAAACCGGCACAGAGGGGCAGAGAGCAAGCAGAGCGCGCGGAAAGTGTAAGGCCATAGGGAAGAGTGTTTCAGGCGGGAAAGAGTGACCAGGGACTCTATCAAGTGTATCAGCTGCTGCGGAGAGCTCACGTGGAACAAGCTCTGAGCGTGGCCTTTGGGTTTAGCAACATCAGGCCACTGGGAATTTGAGAGATTCGCTGACTCAGTGAATGACTCGGAAGATGCACAAAGAGGAGACAACAACTAGAGTTGGTTGAGGGATCAGGGAAAGCTTCCAGAGGAGGTGGCATTTCAGCAGAGCCTTGAAAAATGAGTCTTGGGAGACCTAAATGCTGCCTGCAGGAAGCTGAACTGTACTTGACAAAGCCTCCCTGTGGGAAGCAGGAAGTACCATTAATTGGCCTCTAGGACTGGAGAGCATTATGTCCAGGACACTACAGGGAAAGGGGGAGGAGCTGTCTTATTCCTCAATAGCAGGGAGGCTGGGCGGCGGGGGCAGGCTGATGACCCTGCTGCAGAGGACAGAGCCCACTACACCTTCCAGGATTCAGAGGCTTGTCTGCTTCCCTCGCTGCAGAGAAGTCCTAGGAAGTGAAGATTACAAACCCATGGCCTCAGAGCACAAGGCTCTTAGATACTATCTAGAGCAGCCAGCTCATTACACATCTGGAAAAGAAAGGGGCAGGGTCTTGCCCAAGGTCACCCAGCACATCAGTGTAGGGACCAAGTGATCTCCAGTGATTTCCTGTGGCCCTCACTCTAGTGGGTGAAGTCTGAATTCTATAGCCTGGCAGTCAAGGTCTTTAATGACTGAGCAAGAAATCCCCTCCAACTTTATCTCCCTCCTTCCTCCCTCACACCCCATGATCCAGCCCCCTGAACATTTAGCACATGCAAATATATAACCTCGTACAGTCCTCATGATAACTCTTAGGAGTAGGTGTTATTTTTCATTTTACAGATGAGGAAACTGAGGCTCAAAGAAGTTTAGTAACCTGTCCAAGGATACACAGCCAGTACAGTACACGGCTGAGCCAGGGTGCCATCTCTTGAGGGTATCCAAAGTTATCATTCCCCCACACCTTGCTGCATTCACCATAAAAAGCCCCTCCCCCGGGAAGCAATCCCTGAACCCCTGGCCCTGAGCTACCTTGGAATCATGTCTCATCCTTTAACTCCAAATCACTTGTTCAAGTCACTAAAAAGTCCATTGGATGGGACCGAAATAATTGGTGCCATTGAACAACTCGGACTCCAGTAACCTGTGCCACCGCCTCCTGCCCATAAAGGCCCCACAATCACACTGTTCCCAGGCCCACAGGTGCAGTTCAGCCACTCACAGCAAGAGCAGCAAACCCACAGGACCTGGACAGAATCCTCTCCTCTCCCCGCCCGAGACCTCCCAGCCAAATACCTTGCCTCTCACCTGGAGACCACCAGTGGTAGGATCAGCATCTTCAACATCCTCATCAAGAGCTCCCCAGGAAACTGGAAGTAACTAATTTCCTGAAAACACATCGAGAGCTGAGGTTATAGCAGGCGGTGCAGACTGTGAAGTTGCTCAGTTCTTTATCATCTTCCAAGCGCTGCTTCACGCACACTCTCCTGTCCGGCATGTGGACAGCAGAGTCCGTGGAGAAAACACACGCTTTGGAGCCAAGCAGACTTGGGTCCTAATATTGCCCCCCACCCCCATAACTAGCTGTGTGGCCTTAAGCAAGCTCCTCAACCTCCACCTCCTTGAGTTTTTCTCATCTGTAACATGAGGGTAAAAACCACTCCACAGGGTCACTGGAGGCTTAAACAAGAGGGTGTACATGAAGCACCGGGCAGAGTGCCTGGCTGAGAACAAATGTTCAGTGATCGCAGCAAACAACGGTTCTCCTCCACCTCTGCACCAGGCACTGCCCATCGAGGTGTGAATCTGTGTCCGCAGCAGATGGTGAGTGGCCTGAGGGCAGGGCTGCACACTCTTCACACGTTCATTTGACACCTACGGTGCCGGGCATCACACTGGGTGCCCCAAAAAGACATAGGCACAGTTTTTGCCCTGAAGTTCTCAGTCTAGTTTATGAGAATACTGCCTCATAGACAGACCATGGTATTCTTGAGTCTATTTTTCTTTCTGTGTTGGGTCCATTGTCTGCCCCCTAGCCCCGCTCATAGTAGGTCTCACATTAAAATGCTGGAAGAGAACTGGATTGGGTGGGTGAGGCACCACTTAAAGAGCCTCCCCTCCCCTCCCCGCTCCCCGCCCCAGAGTTCTTTTTTTTTTTATCCTCACCTGAGGTGTTCCGATAGAGTGGAAGGGAGAGAGAGAGAGAGAGAAACATCTAGTGGTTGCCACCCACGCGACCCAACCAGGGCCGGGGACACACTGCAACCAAGGTACATGCCCTTAGTGGGAACCGAACCCGGGTCTCTCTGGACCGCAGGGTGACGCTCTAACCGCTGAGCCAGAGTTCTTATGTGCCCGACAGAGTTCTTATGCTGGGCTTCCTCATGGGCTGCTGGTTCCAGCCTATCCCCAGGGTTTGGATTAGGGCGCTACATTCTTGCCCAGTCAGCTATCTCCAGATCACATGACCAGACTCTGACCACTGAATCAGAAGAGCACACTATGCCCAGTAAAATTTGAATTTCAGACACAACAAATATTTGTTCTTTACTTATACTAAAAATTGTTGGTTGTTTATCTGAAATGCAAATGTAACTAGGTGTGCTGTTTTAAATTTCAATTTAGTTCAGTTCTGCAGTTTCTGGCCACCCTAGTCTGAGCCACTTTCATTAGAGGGTCTGGTTTGGCAAAGGCTGGTACGTGGCCTTGCAAACACCATCCCAGTTAAAGTTTTGTACTTGCAACTATTTTTTTTTTTTCTAAAAACCCAAGCCAAACATAACACTTGGTTAATGGTCTGATGATCTGAAAAGCTCCAAATCATAGAATTTTGGTGCCGAGGGGTTTTTAAGAGATTTTTGAGTCCAGTTGACTCATTTTGTAGATGAGGAAGCTGAGCCCAGAGAGGAAGGTGATTGCCCCACAGAGTGAGTTAGCAACAGTGAGGACCGGAAGTCAGGCCTCCTCCTCCGGTTCTGCTACCATGGCAGTGCACCAGAAATTCTACTTTTAAAAATATACCTATCGCCCTGGCCGGTTTGGCTCAGCGGTTAGAGCGTCGGCCTGCGGTCCGGAGAGACCCGGGTTCGGTTCCCGCTAAGGGCACGTACTTCGGTTGCAAGTTTGTCCCGGGCCTACATATTTTTAATTTTAACCCCTGTGTATATTCTTTAATGTAAATACACTATAATAATAAAAAGGCAGCCCCTTCCTCACCCATCTCTATCCCAACCCAGCTTCCTAGGAGTGAACATCCTTAACTCCTCTAGCTGTTTTCCCTAGTTATTTCTAAATAATACAATTGTAGCCCTGGCCGGTTTGGGTCAGCGGTTAGAGCGTAGGCCTGTGGTCCAGAGAGACCCGGGTTCAGTTCCCGCTAAGGGCATGTACCTCGGTTGCAGTTTGTCCCCGGCCCTGGTTGGTGGTGCCAGTGGCAGCCACTCGATGTGTCCCTTTCACATCGATGTTTCTCTCTCTCTCTCTCTTCCTCTCTCTCCCTCCCACTCTATCTGAACAAAAAATGGAAAAAATGTCCTTGGGTGAAGATAAAAAAAAACCGATTATAATACTATTTCTAGATATATCTTTCTGATGTCTGCCATGACAGATGAAGACTTAGTTCCTATTCCTGTCCCCCCCCTACTATTTCACCATTATATCAATTCATGGTCACATTAATAGTCAAGGTTTACAATATTTTGATCATAAAATATTGGTCACTGTTGAGCCAAGTAGTATGCTACAACCTTTTTTGTACAACCTTCATTTTTTGTACACCCTTTCTTGTATAACTTAACTTTCCTACAGTTAACAATTGACTGACTGGTTTTTCATTTGTCTTCTTTTCTGTGAACCTCTGTCATTTCTTCTCAATGCTTTTCAAAGGCCCAACGAGCACTTTCTATGTGCTCAAGCGCATCAGTTCCTCTGATGCCCCCTGGGACCTCAGTCCAAGGGTTCCCCCCTTCCTATTCCAGTCGGACACATTGCTCTCCGCCCAGGGGTTGTCCTGGGCCTCTTCTTCGCTGTCATTCTGGGACTTTCTCCTGTTCAGAGTCCCCACTTTCCTGAATCTCTTGTCTTCTAGGTTTACTTCCTTGTTTTGCGGACCATCTTTGGTAGCTTCCTCAGAGAGTGGATGGGAGAGAAACGTCTGAGTCCTTACATAAGTAAAAATGCCTTTCTTCTACCTTTAACTCTGACAGCAGTCTAGACATGTATAAGATTCTCAGTTTAAAAGGATTTCCCCTCCACGGAGATTTGACATGGGGTGGTGAACACACAATACAATCTACAGATGATGTATTATTGAACTGTATGCCTGAAACATATATCATTTTATTAACCAATATCACCCCAATAAATTCAATAAAAATAAATTAATTAAAAGAATTTCCCCTCCAAACTTAAAGGCCTTCCAGATTCCAGTGTCGCTTAAGATGTTTGGAGCTTCCTTACTTCCTATTCTTTTTTTTTTATCCTCACCTGAGGACATTTTTCCATTTTTTGTACAGATAGAGTGGGAGGGAGAGAGAGGAAGGGAGAGAGAGAGAGAAACATCGATGTGAAGGGACACATCGAGTGGCTGCCACCCGCACGACCAACCAGGGCCCGGGACAAACTTGCAACCGAAGTACGTGCCCTTAGCGGGAACCGAACCCGGGTCTCTCCGGACCGCAGGCCAACGCTCTAACCGCTGAGCCAAACTGGCCAGGGCCTTACTTCCTATTCTTTACATGAGACTTGTTTTATTTCCTCAGAACCATTTAAGGATCATCTGTTTATCTCTAATTTCCTGTTATTTTCATGGTGATGTACCATGGTATCAGATTTTTTTCTTTCTTTTTAAAAAATTCATAGTGCTGGGCATACCTTTCATTTTTGAGAAACTTTCTTTTATTTTTTGTGATTTTTTTTTTCTGTTAGTGATCTCTAAAACTCAGAGAGTTGGATGTTGGACATTCTAATTTTTTTTTTCTTTTTTCATCTCTGTTGTCTTATTTACTGGGAGATTTCTACAACTTTATCCTAGCTATTGATAATTTAATCTTGGCTCATCTCTTTTTTTTTTTTTCTCTCACTGTCTTTGATCATGTTTTTATTCAAGATTAGCTGTCCAAAGTGATTTGACCTTTATGGAATAAACGAATTTAAGTTTATGCCACAGGTTTCTTTTCTTCTGTGGTGGGTTTCTTTTCTGTGGGCTTCTTCTCAGTTGCTGGTTTCTTGGTAGCTGCAGCCTTTTTTCCCACCAGAGGCTTCTTCGGCTTAACGCCAACAGCCTTCTTTCCTTTCTTCCCTATCACAGGCTTCTTGACTGGAACTCCCTTCTCATCTGATTTGGCTTCTAATGCTGCTGCTGCTTTATCCACACGGAGCTTGTGGTCCTTGGCCTGGCGAAGAATAGTGTTCCGGCGCATGGTCTTTGCATATGGGTTTAGCTTCAACATGATTCTCAGGTTTTTCAGTGGATTCTTCTTCAGGACTCTGCGATGAATCTTCTTACGTGGTGCTCGGAGGGCTCTTTGTATCTCTGGGCTTTTCAAGATTCTACTAAGGTCTGTATTGAGCATCTTGTGCATAGGAAGGCTGTAGTTACTCTTGAGGGAGGCAGCTTTACGCCAAGTGCCATACAGATTATCTAACTTGCGGAAAGCACTTTCAGTCCAAATGCAGAAACAGCCCACGTGCCCACCAGGAGCAAGTTTCAAAATGTTCAGTTTGCTTACATTAAGCAGAGTAATTCCAGGGATGCTTCTGAAGGCTTTGATGATACCGTTGTCATTATAGATAATGCAGGGTCCCCTGCGCTGGATACGACGTCGGTTTCTCATTTTGCCCTTGCCAGCTCTCATTCGCTGAGAGGCATAGACCTTTTTGATATCATTCCAGGCCTTACGTTTCTTAAGAAGCAAAACAGCCTCCTTGGTTTTCTTGTAACTTTCAACTTTATCTTCAACCACCAAAGGAAGGTCAGGAACTTCCTCAATTCGATGACCTTTAGACATGACCCGTGCTGGTAAGGCCGAGGCAGCCAGGGCAGAGCAGATGGCATATCGTTTCTGTGTTGTGTTCACTCTACGGTGCCAACGGCGCCAGGTTTTGGTTGGTGCAAATATGCGGCCCCCACGACACATATTTCCAAAAGCACCCTGGCCAGAACGGTGAGTTCCACCACCTCGAACTCTTGGAATCCGAGCCACAGCTCTGCCAGTACCCCAAGACTCAGCACTGGTTTGATGACCTGCCAGTTCACTGACAGCATAGGGCTGTCTATTGTTTTTGCGCAAGTTGGTGTGAACAAAGTTCACAATGTCTGGTCGAATGGGAGCCTTGAACACAGCAGGCAAAGTGACATTTTTGCTAGAAGATTCCCCCTTTTCAGAGTACATGGATATTAGTGGACGAGCACACGCCATGGCGGGGAGAGGAGATGGCCACACTCCTCTCGACCCGGTGGCTCCCACAGGAAAAGGCTCATCTCTTTTTAATTTCCAAAAGTTCTTTCTTGTTCTTGGATTGTCCTGTCCTTTGGCACCCCATTCTGTTTGATGGTCTCTGTATCTCCTCTCACACTTTCAAGAACTTAAGAAAAGATTTAGGCCCTGGCCGGTTTGGCTCAGCGGTTGGAGCGTCGGCCTGCGGTACAGAGAGACCCGGGTTCGGTTCCCGCTAAGGGCACGTACCTCGGTTGCAGTTTGTCCCCGGCCCTGGTTGGTCGTGAGGGTGGCAGCCACTCGATGTGTCCCTTCACATCGATGTTTCTCTCTCTCTCTCTCTTCTTCTCTCTCCCTCCCGCTCTATCTGAACAAAAAATGGAAAAATGTCCTCGGGTGAGGATAAAAAAAAAAAAAGAAAGAAAGAAAGAAAAGATTTAGCCCGGGCCAGGTGGCTCAGTTTGTTGGAGCATTGTTCTGTACAACAAAAGGTTATGGGTTTGACTCCTGGTCAGGGCACATGCCTTGGTTTCAGGTTTGATTCCAGTCTCAGTGTGTTTGGGAGGCAACTGATCAATGTTTCTCTCTCACATTGATGTTTCTCTCTCTCCTCCTCCTCCTTCTCCTCCTCTTACTCTCTCTCTCTCTCTGAAATCAATATATACATATCCTCAGGTGAGCATTTAAAAAAAATTCCATTACTATTCCAGGAAGGAAAGAAAATGGGTGAAGTTATAAATTCACCATGGTTTAACTGGAACTCTCAACATGGTCTATATTTTTTTAATGAGATATTCATTTTTTAAAAATTACAATTTATAAATTTTGTGATTTTGTAAGTTCTTTTCTCAAATATGACCTTCTACCCTTTTGCAAATTGTTTATGATTTTTGACTGTTGCATAAGCTTGGTTCTGAGTCACAGGCAGAGATCAAACAAACATCTCCTGGGCTTCAAAGTAAGATACTGAGAAAGCCAATTCCTGCCAAATAATTGTTCTAAGACTCCACGTCCTTCCTTCAGTTTAGCTGGCAGGTAATTCAGATTGGAATACATTTGCATTTCCAAACAGATGGGGAAGGCAGCTTTGGCAACGGAGGCCCCAGATGAGTCTGGCTTTTAATAATAAGCATTCCAACTTATTTTCACCAAATAATCTTCCTGCAGGAAATATATTTTTGTTGTTGAGGACAATTAAAGAAACTAGATAGCAGATTGTGCCATTGCCAGTTTAATTCAGCAAATAGCTGAGGGAGGGCTCTTTCTGTGATAAGCACTGAGCTAGGCTCACATTTTGGTTCAAGAAAGTCCACGTGACATTCAGCAAGTTGAAGTCTGACGGGAGAAATAGACTCATACCAAATGGCCCTGAAGCAAGAGAGCCGGCAGCTGTGTTTCAGTGCAGGGCTGAGCAGGGGGTGATGTGGGAGGAGAGTATTATCTCAGATATGGGCGGGTCTGGAAGAAGTTTATGCAATAGGAGATGGTCTTGATGTAGGTAGGACTTGGACAGGTAGCTAAGGGAGGGAGAAGGGAACTAACATTCGCTCAGCACCCACTGTATGCCAGGCACTGATGGGTCCTGTTTATTCCTCAACAATTCTAGTGGACGTACAGTGCCCCCAGTCCATTTTATAGATAAGGAAACTGAGGCCCAAAAAGGAGATAGGATTTTGCCGAGGGCCGCACAGCCACTTACTAGTGGAATCAAAGTTCAGAGTTCCTCTGCCTCCAGAGTCCATGCTTCTCCCCAAATAACTGACTGTGGCTGAGCAGTGTTACTCTAGGAAGTGGCTCGATTCCCAGGGAGGGGGTGTTTTCCTTTTAATGAAAGACAAAGTTTGCCCCAGTTGTAGGATTCACAATAGATATCAGTGAACTAAAGGAAGAAAAGTTTTATGAAATTGAGAATTTTCCAAGAGCCCATGGGCAAAGTTCGTTGACCAAACTTTAGACAGGCTCCTCTGAGCCCTCTTTTCTATGCGGCCTCACCCTTGGTCCGGTCTTCAGCCTGCCTAGCACAATTGGAGCAAAAATCCTGCTAAGTCAGTTCAGGGAGAATCCCCACTTTGCCTTCAACAAGAATCCTGTCATTTTTCTCTTCACTCTCACTATGCTCATTGGCCATAAATCCCCAGCTGTCTTTATTGTATTTGGATTTGAGCCCAGTGTTCCTCCCCTATAGCCATAGTCTTGACAGTTGTCACCTAAATAGTCTTCCTACCATTTTAACAAGGGTCAGTATCATGTTTTAGCACCTGTGACTGTCCCTCCTTTGCCTGGGAGAGGGGTACTGAGAGGAAAAGGGGCCCTTTCCCAGGCAAGGCGTCTTCACCCTCACAGTTATATAGGCCAGAACCCTGGGGACCTGCCTTGTCTCCCTGTCCTCCAATCCCACATCCAATCAGCCACCACATCCTGAAGCTTCCTCTTTCGGAAACGATTCTCAGAGCTGTCCCATTCATCCCCACTGTCACGCCTCAGCCCTGCAGCCACCTCCTCACTTGGCCCCTGCCTGTCCCACCACTGCCCACCCTACATTCAGCACCAGAGGGGTCTCCTCAAGCTCAGATCTGGCCACATCACTCCCCTGCTCAGAGCTTCTCATGGCTGCACCAAGTCCATGCTTGGCGATGGGATCGAGAGGCCTCACAGTGTTCGTTCCAGCCGCCATAAACAGCTTGCTCCACACCTTCCCGTCTTTCATGCCTCTGTGCCTCGTTCCTGCTGTTACTCTGCCTACAATACCCTTTCTAGGTCTCTGCTCATAGGAGCTGCTTTGGACGGGGTTCTCTGATGCCTGCCTCACACTCTGTGGGACCCCATTCTTCCCTCCCGCACAGCTCTCAGCACCGTGTTAACTCTGATGAGGCATTCTCGCCTCTCATTCCCCTGGTGATGCCAGTTCGTAACCTCTTGCTCAGACATTTTATTGGATTCACTCTAGTTCTGTAATGTATTTTTCACACCCATGTTACAGATGAGAAAACTGATACTCAGAGAGGCAAAGTGACTTACCCACTGTGTTGTCACCAGGGAGTCATGAAGAGGGAATGTGACCCTCAGATCCCTCAGGCCCTCACGCCCCTCCTCAAGGGGGACCCCGTGATGCCCAGGTGGCTAACCTGTGGTGAGAGGCGCTGGGTCCTCAGGAAGAAGCCGAGAAGGCAGCCCACAGTGACAGATAGCACAGACAGGATGAGCAGTCCATTCCGCTTACAAACATCCTTCCCTCGTGCCAGGAGGGCACCCGGCACCATGGTGATCCCAGCCTGCTGGCACCAGGCACAGCACCATTCCATGCACGTGAGGCCAGCCAGGGGCACACGGTCCTGGCTGGGGGCTTTGGCTCCTCAGCAGGCAGGGGGTCAGGGTTGCTAAGCACCCGTTGCCGACCAAACGGCCATGGCCTTCGTGGCTGCCCCAGAGAGAAGCCACAATCCTATTACCAGCTGCATCATTAGGAGCTGGGAGAAGATTAGGGCCTAGGAAATTAGAGCAGGCCACGTGGTCAGGGGCTCGGACCTCACAGTCAAGTGCTTCTCTTAAACAGAGGGGGCCAGGCACTGGTGGGAGGAGCAAGAGGAACATGTGCTTAGTAGCTCAGATTTTACCCCCACTTCTTTCCAGAAAGAATTGAAAGCAAGGCAGTAAGATACTAGCTAATTGCCAATTGATTGATAACATTAAGTAAGCATTTATTGTGCACCGGGTTGTTCTAAAAACACATTACTTGTGCCCTGGCTGGTTTAGCTCAGCAGTTGGAGCGTTGGCCTGCAGACCAGAGAGTCCCGGGTTCAGTTCCCGCTAGGGGCACGTACCAAAAAAAAAAAAAAATTAAAAATAAATAAAAACATATTACTTGTATGCACACATTTAATCTTAACACAAATCCCAAGAGTAAGTACAATGTGAATCGTTTTAGATGAAGAAATCGAGGCGAAGAGAGGAGAGCCACGACGTGTGCTGAGTGCCAGCGCTGCGCGAACCGCAGGGAGCCATCCTGACAGCCTAGGATTCCCTCCTTCATGATCGAGACCCAGCAGCCGGAGTCCCTGGCTCCAGGTCACAGAGCTGGCAGGTAGCAGAGCGTAATTCAGGCCTATGCTGGCTCAGTTTCCACCACATGAACAGGCAGATGGGTTCAAAGGTGCTTAGCCTTTGAACCGAGGGGAATGCAGGATTTGACAGTGGACCTGAGTTCAAACTGGCTCTGCCACTCGCTGTGATGTGTTTCCGTCAGGGCTGCCTTGAGCCTAAAGCTAAGCCCTCTGTAGGTTCTTAGGGCTTATTATTTTCAAAGATGACAGAGCCCAAGGGACCTACATTCAAGTCCCAGCTCTGCCACGGACTAGCTGTGGGATCCTGAACAAGCCACTGAAACTCACTGTGCCTCAGTTTCCCCATCCATAAAACAGACATAGAAATACAGCATCTACTTTACTAGGGTTGCTGCAACATCCGCTCCAAAGAATGTCTGTGAAAGCAGCGGGGACTGTACCGTGTGGAACAGGGATTATTATCTACATTTATCATTTTTAGAGAAAGGTTTTCTTTTTGCTCTTTCTAGTGGCCGGGCCTGCCCTTTAAAGCCAGAGGGAATTAACTCTGGTCTATTTCACCAGGAATATAATCTCATTAGAGGCAGTCAGGCAGCAGGGAGCACAGTCTGTGCCAGGGGCAGACTGTGCCCAAGGGCTGTCCCCTGACAAAGGGACGGAGCGAGTAGAGGGGATGAAGGATGGAGAGGGCTAGTGGGGAGGGGGTGCAAGGAACTGCTGGGGGCTTGGGTGGAGGGGGTTAGGGTGCAGGCCCTAAAGCCTTGGAACTGGGAGGGGACCCTCAGATTCTAGTCCCAACTTGACCAGCTCTGTGACATTGCCCTCTCTGGGCCTCAGTCTTTCCTTTAAGGAGGGAAATTGACTAGATGCTTTCTTAGAACCCCTCAGTTCAACAAACCAACTTCCAAAGCCTTTATTCTTTGCCAGTAGCTTTGGGTGTCAGGGTGGGGTAGATAAAAGTCTGAGAGTTTTATTTTTTTCTTCCAACTCCAACTCTTAAAACCAAGAATTTTCTGATATATCTTCAACTCCAACAAATGCCTCATTTTCCAATTAACCAGGTAGTGTAGTTCATGTCTAGAAGAGAAAACATTCTGAGTAGATATTTGAATTTGCATTTAGATCAAACGGCCTTTCGCCTTGTCGAGAAGTCTTGCTTTCCACTTCAGCTCCAAGAATCTGATTCCGTGGTGCCCCCACATTGTCCCTGCCTTCTGTCCCTCCCACTCCCACACGACCACCACCTGCGTCCCAGACTATAGGCCTTTTTCTCTATTGCACCCACTGTCTTCAACAGGCGAAATTACAACTCATTCAAGCAAATGTTCATACAGCACCATCTCATGTCCTCCCTCTGGGGACTGAGGACACAGAAATGAATTGACACAGTACTTGCCCTCAAGGAGCTTAGAAGAAAATTGAGGGACTCTAAGAAAGGACTAATTCATGTTAATGTGTAAGTGACTGATAATGAGCTTATTAAGAATTCAATTTGCAGATCAAATCAAAAGGCTCCTGGATAAGAACCCTTTTATAGTTCCCCATTTCCCACAGAATCAGTTGTCTTACAATGTTACAAGCTATGCAATTTTTTCCCATAATTAAAAACATGTTGAGAAATACTGGATGAAACAAAGTTAAGCAGGGTCTTTATTCCAAGACAGCTCAGAGTCAGACTGCTTAAGTTCAAATCTCAGCTCTACCACTTACTAGCTATGCGAACTTGGGCAAATTTCTTCACCTCTCTGTGAAACGGGCATAAGGCAACAGTACCGTGTTTATAGGGTTGTGATGCGGGTTAAGTACAGTGAAGCACGCCAAGTGTTAAGAGCACCGCCTGGTACCTCGTAGACATTCACATGTAGTTACTATTCATTTTAGCAGAGCCTTTATGATACTAACATATTTTGGAGGAAGTCTCCAAGCGAGGGACACAGAATTCCAGCCCTCTTCAGGAGCAGAGAATTCCAAGGGCCTGGTGTTCGAAGAACTCACTCTGGAACACTCCAGCCTCCAAGATGAAGTCCTTCCTCCTTAGGGAGTCGCTTGAGGTCCTCAGGGACTTGCATTTGCTCCCCTCTCCAGAACACCACCTTCTCCCTCTCATCGTATCTTGAGCTTCTACAACACCCAACGACTTCGGGTTCCTTGAGCCCTGTACTCTCTCTTAGGCCTCCACACCTGTGCCCATGCTATTTCCTCTACCTGGAATGTTCTTCCCTCTGTCTCTAAAGTCACAGGTCGAATGCCCCATCTTCCCTGAAGCCTTTCCTGACTACCCCAGATACAACACCCCCTCTTCTCCTTCCACTAACTCAGGCCCTTCCACCATCACCACCTGGAAATAAACCCCAGTTCCCTTGTAAGTGACTCTGATAAGGAAATAAAAATCTACAAGAATAAATTTAAGTCTCTGTCTGTTTACCTGTCATCTGAAAACACCTTAATGAATCATTCTCAAAGTTGGAGGGTACATTGGGGGGACCTGGGGATCAAGGAGTTGCCCTCCAGAGCAGCTGAAACGAATGGGCAGCAGGAAGCCTGGGAGATGCTCGGTGGGAGACCTGTGTGCACAGAATAAGATGCTATGGGCAGAGCCCTTGTCGATTGGCTCAGTGGTTAGAGCGTCGACCTGTGGTCCAGAGAGACCCGAGTTCGGTTCCTGCTAAGGGCTTGTAGCTTGGTTGCAGTTTGTCCCCGGCCCTGATTGGGTCGTGTGGGTGGCAGCCACTCGATGTGTCCCTTTCACGTTGATGTTTCTCTCTCTCGCTCGCTCTCTCCCGCTCTCCCTCTCCCACTCTATCTGAACAAAAAGTGGAAAAATGTCCTCGGGTAAGGATAAAAAAAAGATGCTATGGGCAGAGAAGATGAGCTGCGTCAACGAGCCCCAAGTCTCAGCTCACAAGTGCGGCCGCCCCAGTCTGCAGAAGTGAGCTTGCAGTCGAACTGCTTCTCACCACGGCAACTCTGTGCAGGCTGTGCCAGGGGGAGATCAGGGCCCATTTCTTTGCCAATGATTAATGATTCTCTAGGGTAAGCAGAGGGGCCAGCTCAGCCCCGGTGCAATAAGGCTTCCTAGAGGAGGGGTCACTTCACCAGAGACCTGAATAAGCAAGGAGTTCACCGAGCACAGGGGGTGCTGGTCAAGGGGAGGTGAGAGGAGAGACAGTTCCGAAAGAGGGGCCCAGGCTGGAGCTGCCCGGGCTGGTCTGGAAACCGCTGTGGATCCGTGGACTGGAGTGGCAGTGGGCCTGGGGCCTCACCCCTTCCAGAGTATCAAAATGAGTTTAGGTCGAGCTGTCTGAGCTCTCAGCCGGGTTTATGGTGACGACAGCTCTGGGTTTGTTGGCTGCTTTCCAGAGACATACCAGAGGCGCCTTAATGTCCTCCTGGCACGTCTCCTGAGCTTACTATAGGCAGGGCCCTTCTGGGAAGCCTTTCTGTGGACAACGGGGGGTGTGGATTCCTTGGAGTGTTAGTCACCAAGGGGCTGCCCTGACCTCAGCAGAGGCGGTCCTCTCCCGCGTTTGCCTCAGAGGATGGGGTAGTGACTCATGTGGGGGCTCTCTCCTGTCACCTTCTTCTTCCCTTTCCAGCCCCTCCTGTCTAGATTTTTCAGCTATAAAAATTGGGCCTGAGCACCCATGAGACCTCTGAGCGGCTGTTTGTTGAGCACTTACCATGTGCCAGACTCTTGAGGAGTCACGGACCAGAGAGAGCCCGGGAGCGATTCAGCCCCTGCGCCAGCTCTGGCGGGTTGGCCGAGCGTCCAGGGCGGAGCAGGGCGCAAGGGCTGGATCTGTGCCGGCTGAGACAGGAGCACCGTCTGATCCAGGTGGCTTCCACTCCTTGTCAGCCCACAGCTTCTTCCTTGTTTGGGACCTTACAGCCACCAAGTCAGGGTGTCAGAGTTCAAAACCCAGGCATAAAGCTCACAGAGAGCCCCAAGGACATTCTCATTCATTCCTTGAGGCTGGGAGGAGGAAAGGGACTTGGGCAAGGCAATTGGAAACCAGGTGCTAAGTCAGGAACAGAACTGGAGTCTTCCACTCCCTACTCAGTCCTCCCTAAAACCTGGAAACAGTCTTCAAAAAAAAAAACGCATTCTGCTGTTGGCTGTTATTTTGCAACCTCTATCTTGTTTATGATGCACAATTTGCCTCTACTTCCTAACCTTCATGGCAGTAACCATGTGGACACTCTTCTGAAGCAACCATCCCTCCACCAGCTACACACACACACACACACACACACACACACACACGCCCTGTCCAACCCGTGTCCAGGTTCCTGCTACTTATTGCCTCTAGCTGCCAGACACTCATTTCCTTTGAGAAGGTGCTGAAGTCAGTGATTACTGAACGGAGGAGGCAGGATGGGGGGACACAG